AAGTCTGGAAAGATAGTTGTAGTCTCATTTTGATTCCACATATCGATTTTTTGTTCCTGGATAGAAGTTCTTTCTTCTCCTTGCTTCTCCACACCATGGCCAATCTTGGTAATTTCAGCTGCTTTCGATTTTTCCACTGTCAGACTCGCATAATCCATAAACGGTCCCTCTTCCATTCCCATATTCTTGGCGGCAAACGACAGGACAGGTGTGGAAGTTGAAAACCATGTATTTTTTTTCAAACTCGCTACATTTTCGAACACCTTTAACTGTTTTTTCGCATTAGTCGCATCGCTCTCAGCATCATTTGCAGTTCCTAATAACAATTCGGAAGGACCATCCACTCTTTTCGAGTCTACGGTTTTACTATACGAAACCTCCATTGTTTCACTTTCACCAGTACCGACTTCGGCTTGTTCAGTCCTACTAACACTTCTGAATTCCTCAACTTCTAAGTTTTTTTCGTTCTTTTCAGTGCTTGTTTCTTCACGTTTCATTTTCTCATCTAAAAAAATGTATTCACAAAGTGACGTGATTTCATTGGTTTCTGCCACTGCAAAGTTTTTGATCAACCACTCTTTCCTCGGATGTCGCATTAAATTCTCTTTTTTTTGCAGGTCTTGCATGTTTTTGTCCCTGGAAACTTGGTATTCTGTTTCTGATGCGCTATCACCTATTTCCATCATTGCTTTTTCAGCTGCACGTGTTACATGTGCAATGTGCTCCATTTCTTCCTTTGTCAACACGGATTGTGGATTCATAGGCATCTCTTGCTTCAGCTGCGCTCGTTCATCATCACTTTTCATTTTACTATGAACTATTTTATTTGTAATCAGTGAAATTTTTGCCTTACTGATTTCCTGTTCTTCCCCATTCAGATTTGGATGTTCTGTCTTACTGCTGTCCACGTTTCCACTCATGACTTCCTGTTGAACTAATTTCCCAGCCAATTCTGTAACTTTTGCTATATGCTCTAGTTCTTCTTCGGTTAATTTGAATTCCGACGTTCCCCACATGTCATTTATCACGAACTTCTCAGAACCGGCTTCTTGCTTCCAGAATTCCACTTCAGCAATTTCACTAACGTGAA